TAGATGTCAACAGTTTGCACTAGAAACCCATTGATGTTTTGGTCAAGACGACATGGAAAAGGAGCAGATGCTACACGTGAATCAGGCTCTTTCTATTCTCATTATTTCATCTTCATTTTTTTTTCTTACTTGTATTTTTATCCTGTTTAATCTCCTTCATGTTCCCACCTCCTTTAGTCCTCTTTGAAACACCTCCTGTCCTCGTTTTCTCTTCTGCCCTCCTTTTGACTTCAGATTTTGTTTTCTCTCAGCCTAGTTTCATGATAAACCCAAGAAAGAACAGGATCTCTCATGTCCTTAGCTCACCCTGTTTACCTCCACCCCTCCCATCACATCTCATCTCTACAACCTGCCTCCTCCACTCCATTTTAAATCTTTTTCAATAACAGTGATGACTCATGCCTTCCCCTGTTGCTCCCATGCGTTGCCATGGCGACACCCCCAGATGTAATTGGCTTCTTGTAAGTGACGATGGGTGACTGGAGAGACGAAGACAGCCAGCTCCCCAGAAGCCAAAAAGCTGATGTCACCCTGTCTGGATGGCAGGTCCTTTTCTAAAACTTTCATCTGAGATAAACACAGCAGACAAAGGTTGGTTCATTCAGCTCAGTCTGAGCAAACTTCAGCTTTTTCTTCCTTCACCCACAGCTCAACAAGATGACCACAGCTTTGCAGCACCAGGTGGTCATCAACAGGGTTACGAAACGTTAATCCCTCTAACGACCCAGTGAAAAACTCTGCCTTCGTGGTTTTTGCTGCAAAAGTATTAAGTGGTGGTAATAAAAAGATGAAAAGATGTGATTCTGGGAAAGGTTTCTCAGGATTAACAGACACAACAAGAAGCAAATGAAAAGTAGAATCGAAATTTTGGAATCATAAATGTAAAAAAAAAATTTTTTAAACTGAGCCAAGTGGCAGCAGAGAAATATGGTCAATAAAAATAGTTTTTGTTTTAAAATATACAGTACATATCTTCAGTTTTACAAAATAAAAAGCGCCCAGTATTGTTGCAGTATATTTTTCTCGACCAGTTTTACACATATTTAAATCCTCACTGCCACTGCTGGAGTTTGAGAACTAAAACTGTTTTTCACTGCAGCTGCTGGAAGACTGATTGATGACAGTTTCTGAAAAATGAAGAAAATAAGTTTGTTTCACTGAAATCAAAGTATTTGTGAACATTTTGAGCAGCCAGCTTTTGAAAAGGATGGCTTAAATACTGTATATTTCTCTTGTATTTTTGGCCATGCATATTCATGTGTAAATGATACTTAACCAATACTCCAAGAAAATTCTAACAAACACTAAAATGCCTAAACTTGAACAGCACCCCTGAAAATAAACGATCATCACTATTTTGTAAGAAAGTTTGTTCTCAAACCTTAGATTCACTAAAACACTGAATAAATTTGGAGCTGGATGTACTCGTAGAGCGTACACCTCCTCCAGTCATGCAGTAATCTGTATCCAGTGCTTAACACTCTAAAATCGGAGTTTTCTCTGGACATGAACGCATCACAGTCTAGTGGATGATGGACAACTGTATCTCATTTTTAAAAATAACATGATTACAATTTCATCTGGTTCACACTTTCAGCTTAAAATCAAATGTGACAGGATCAGATTAAAGTAAAACAGACTTGGAAAAGAAAACGAAAAAAAAAACTGTAAAAACTGTTTTGTTGTTTTAGTTTCTAGAGCACATGAGGATTTCTCAACAAAACCTGTGAACTGGTCCTTCATTCCTGGTCCTTATTCAATCTCTCAAAACATGCATGTTGATGCATTTCTAATCTTATCTAGTAATTTAAAATCTCTATGTCCTTCCTGTAAATATGAGTTCATTAAAGTTGTTTTGCATCAGACCAGAATTCAACAAACACTAATAGATTAAAATGATATTGGAAAAATGGATACACAAAAACACAGAGTAATTAATGAGCATTAACATTATCTAAGGACTGACCTTGAATTTAAATTGAATTAACCATTTTTGTGCTTCACTTGCAGGATTCTAATTTACCAAAATAAGGTTCAAACCTAACCTTCTCTTTCAGTAAAATATTTATAAAGGAACAAATATAATAATTTTCCAAATTGGTCCCATATTTCCCCTTCAATTGAAAATCCCTCTCAAGTTTCATATCAGTTTTTTTGTATAAAATCTGTAAAAAGTGTTTTTTTTTTACCTGAAGAGGTAATTAGTCCTAAATGCTTTGGTTCTTTTATTTGATAAATCAAGTTAAGTGGAAGAAAAAGCGTTAAAGTGGAGAAGCTGATAGTCGTGCTGACAAGACAATTACTCCCATTTGCCAGCGAGGGTGTCCAGTTAGACCCTCAGTGCCATCCCTGCACCCACACGTCCCCCCCCCCCCCCACACACACACCTCCAAACATCCTCCAAACTGTGTTGTCAAGGTAACTGAGGAGGTGAGCTGAGAATGAAGGAGAGTTGATTTGCTTGGCAATGTGGCAGGAAAAGCAACGGAGCAGCAATCTGGAAAGTCTGGCTCACTGGAGACCCACACAGCATATAATAATATATTATCCAAGGTTAAAAGGACTGCCAACCTGACAGAACATGCCACTCTTTGTCTCTGGCTTTGCTTCACATGGGTACACACCGAATAGAAAAAAAAGAAAGAGAGGAGGAGATGTCTGAAACACTCACAAGGGGAAAATATATACATATTTGGAACCATTTATCACCAGAGGTCTGGGTTAGTCTGTAAAAGGCAAGTTTGAAAAAACAAAACAGGAATCCTTTCTTCGACACATCAAGCCCTCAATAAACTATTTTAAGGATCTCATTGTTCCAGTGACCACAGACATACAGTATATTATTTACAGTTTTAAGTGTAACTATCTAATTTGCAATGTTAACATAAAGGTTTGAATTCTGTCTGCTCAGTGCAGCTCTGGCTCCACTGATTATTGTCTAAGCTTCACCTGTGGCTCTCTACATTTAGACTGGAGCCTTCCTGTTGCAGCACTCCAGTTTCTGTGCTTCTAGTTAAGTTCTCTGCATGTTATTGCTCCTGGTCCTCCCCTGTAAATAATAAAATAAAAGAGCAAAGTTTCCAGCTGTGTCTGACTTCAGAGGTTGCAGCCTAGGAAGGCCACAGCCATCTCAGTCTGGGTGGGCTGACTCTAACAGATGTCAAATGAGACGGTCTAGTTTTTGGATGATGAATGCTTGCATGACCATGCACCACTCCGTTAGCTTAGTGATACGTTTTGTATCACATCACCCATAAATGCCTAAAATTCAAAATACATTGGAGCATGCATAACTTCACAAAACTCAACGTGTTGTTAAAAAATGTTACATGTAATAACACAAAGACAATTTGGGTTTTGCTCCATACTAAATTTAAATAAAGAGAAAGATAATGGAAAACTGGTTTTATTTTACAAAAACAATAAAACAAGGAAAATCTAAAAGATAAAGTCTAAACTTACTGCAGTGTCTTTAGTCCTGAACAAAACTGTCATAATGCTGTCATAAATATGACATAAGACCTGTCAGGAACTCAAACGAGACCTCATGAATGTTTATGATTGTTGTCATTAAGTGTCATTCGGTAAATTGTGACACTTTTAATGCAAAGCTGACATTGTTTAAAATGTCTTTGTTATGACAACTTGACATTAACCAAGACAAAAAAAATGTCTTGACAAGTTAGAGTGATTATAAGCATTTGTCAGTGTAATGAGGCTTAATGACATCTTTATAACTAGTCTAATAGGTTCCACTTTAGGTAAGGGAAAATATTAATGAAATATATTGGTCTCATGACAGCCAAAGTTAAGACTAACAACAAATGACAGTGTAATAAAATGTTAAAATGATACTTAATAGCTTTTATAACAGGTTATGATTTCTTGGTTAATGTCAAGTTGTCATAACAAAGACATTTTTAACAATGTCAACTTTGCATTAAAAGTGTCATAATTTACTGAATGACGTTTAAAGCCCATGACAGATGTTATGTCATATTTATGACAATGTCATGACAGTCTTATGAACACCCCTTCAAATAAAGTGTTACCATCCTGTTTTTAAATGCCAACAATATGATAACATCTGATGCACACTCAAAAAACAGATGTAGTGGGTTTACTTTAAGGTAGCGCACTTCGTGTCACCTTTACTCAGTTCAACTGGAACTAAAGTAAATGTTTGTATCTGTATTTTAGAAACTTTTTTGCAAATGTGGTTTGTGATTTGTTGAAGCCTGTTAAACAAGTGAAAAATAGATAAATCTGTCTGCTGCTCACAGGTCTGAGAAGCTCAGAGTAAAAAAAAAATCCCTGTCCTTTCTTTGATTTAAAGAATCGAGAGGATGTATGTTTAATCAAATTAATTTCTGGTTTGCATGAACTTGCTTTTGATAATAAAAGTCTTCATGACAACTCTGAAAACAGGCAACAAGTAAGGAGCTGAAAAAAAGAGAAATAAAACAGACCAGAACACATTTTGATTTCAGTGTAGTTTAATTGATGATCACCAGGCTGTTTCCCTTTTACAATGAATTTGCAGTAGTTCTAGTTACCAGTTAGATTTAAAGAGACAGACAAATATTGTATATTGCGCAGAGGATAAAAACATAATTAAGATTATTACAATGCAAAAAAAAAAAGAGGAAAGAGAGAGTCAAACAAAACTTGCAAATACAGCATCTTCTTAACAACATATTATAGGGCAAACAATAAAAGCACAGCCCAATATTATATTACTGTAGTTCATGTCAGTACCAGTTAAGACAGTAAGCATTTCTCAAATATACCTCTTTAAAATAGCACTGTATTTTTTATTATTATTTTCATGTTAAACTGTTACATTCAAGATTATAACTAAATAAATCACATGCAGAAAGATTAGATGACGCCATATGCTGATTGTGATCCGATATCTTCACCTCTACTGTAGGTATGGAGATGATCTGAACTGAAAGATGCACTTGTTTTTTTTTTTTTTTTTTTTTATTTGAGCTGCCTTTTTTTCTGTAGCTTTGTTGTGTTTAGTTTCAGCCATTTTGATAAACTCTTCACTAAAGCCAGCTAAAGTAAGCAGGTTTCACAGAATAATAGTTGGTCGGTTGTTTTCCGAGCGATATGTAAAAATCTGTGTACCGTTGGTTCTGTAGCATTTTGTACATGTGGCGTTTGTCAAACCCTATTCTTGTTTTCTGAGTCTGCATGTGTTTCAAGTCATTTTCAGGAAAAAGTTGCAGCGTCCGTTGGTTTTATTTTTCGTCTTGCTGGGATTAAACTTGCACTCCGTAAGAATAAGACACAGGAAACCTGATGTTTTTATTGTTACAGAAAAATCAAGATCTCTCCTTTCAATTTTATGTGTATTTGTCTAAGTTCGTGAGTTTTTTTTATTGTTTATTTTGCTATTTTTAATGTTTTCCAGCAGCATTCATGTGTCCGTACCAACCCTACATTCAGAAAAATAGATCTCCGTTACAGTTCAGCTTTTAGAGATTCACAGCGCTTTCTTAGTCTTGATAATCTCAAGACTTTCTATTTGGAATCAGCCTAAAAGAAAAACTAGTTTGCAACAAGTCATGACAACTCTGACCATCCACAATATCTGATGCACACGTAAATAAAATAAAATCCACCTGTACTGAAGACAAATAACTGAGACAGACGTTCAAGGAGCCGTTCAAATGTAAACTGGTTTCAGGAGAACAATTGATTGTTTATTTGTGCAAAGTGAGCTGAATCAAACTCTCTGATCCATTGAGTTATAATGAGTTTAGTCTTTGTCCTCCTCTAATAGCAGATCATTATGAACAAGAATATAAAGAACATGGATAAATAATTGGGCTGCACAATATACCAAAAACCTTCCATAATTAAAATATCAATGTGTGCAATAACATCACTGAAAAAAAAGTTGAAAAGCCAAACTGATATATTTGGCAATCAGGTGGACTCCTGCTCCAAATGTTCCACGCCTGATTTAAGCAATCATGTGTGAGATGCTAAAACACCGGAGGAATCTTTTTAGCATCGCAATGACAGAATAGAAAGAGAGAGATATAATATTGTTATATTCAGGAATATTATTGCAATCATTTTCTAATATTGTGCAGTCCCAGAAAGCAGCTTTATTTTTCCTATCAGTCATTTTTGATTTAAATCAAAGAGATGGAAAGAGAGCAGAGGGGGTTGGAAGATAAAGTGTGAGCGGGATTTACAATTAAAGAAGTTGGCACTTATATCTGACTGGCATAAAGTAACCTTTTGTCATCTGTGGAGATGTTTTTTTGTGTTTTTAGATGTCACTAAGGGAAAGAAGTGAGGCTGTGCAAGAAGATCTTTAGTGTTTTTGAACATCCAGCATGTTATAAACTGATGTTTAATGTTGTGCCTTTATTTAATGCAGATTTCACTATTTTAATAAACCAGTCTTTTTATAAATTGTTCATTTTATTAAAAGTGTTTTGCTAAAACTGCTTAAATGAGTACATTTTTTTAATTTAAATGTTCCGGATTGGGCATCGTACAATCCAAGACAAACGTATCCAAAAAATTCCATTCTATTCTATTCTATTCTATTCTATTCTATTCTATTCTATTCTATTCTATTCTATTCATCCTTCCTGCCTTGTCTTCACAATTTCAAAAAATAAAAGTTAATATAATGAAATCATAAGTCTTAGCAGGAAAAAAAAACAGCAAACAGAACAAAAATCCCGTCTGATCATTTAAAAATCGACTCACACCACAGAATTAAATCAAATTTGCAAAGTGCACTGAAACTTGAATATCAATTCAGAACTGAGAGAACGAAGATGGCTGTAATTCTGAAGCTACAATTTGAGCTGTTTTTGTGAACGAGCGCAACAAATAAAAAATAAAATCTGCGTCGCTCCAACCCGCAGAAACAAACCAACCAAACCATCATTAAATAGTATCTTCTACTCTCTCACACACAAACCTACTTCTAAAGCGTTCCTGCTTTTGAACAGGATTGAGGGAAACCGTTAGAAAAACTCGACCTATAAAAGTTTGTCGGGGATTAACGTCACATGTTAAGTTTTCATTTCGTTCATTGGAGGAACGTCTTGCATATCTTCTATTACTTCAAATAAATCCACTTTTCTCACACTAACTTCAGACCTGAACAACAAACAAAGCCCAGCAGGTAAACGCTCCTCCCCCCACACACCATAGAAAAGTGCATTCATGTCTGGTGCAACTATCTGTGCAAAGACTTTCACACGGCTCTGAATGTGGTTCTGTTTTGTAAAGTTATCGTTTGGCTGGATTTGGCAGCGCAATCAAAGTCAGGGGCTGCTTGTCGAGCTGCGAGTCGTTGTGTTTGAACTGAGTTGGTTGAAGTTGTGTCCTGTGTTTTATTTGCCAGTTTGTGGTCCATTTCCCGTTTTCTTCAGAGTCACACGCTAAAGGCACGTACAGTAAGAGCAGCCTCCTGTAACACACTTTACAAGTTTTTTTTGTTATTCAAAAAGCAACCCTTACGTTAAAAATAACTGTTGCCGCTTTCACCAGCGTATCAATGCCCATGAAGGGTCGCTCACTCAGACCAGCTTTGTTTGCTACATTTGTCACAGGTCGCTGCTCGTTTTCTCCGTCGCTTTGTGACACGGACAGAGATGGCAAAATGTAGCGGAACGTGTGTATTAATGTTTCATTTATCTTTATGACTTAATCAAAAACACCACTTTGGTGGTGGTATTGCAATTTGCTGCATCACCACAGAATATTTGACTTGTGTTTTATCAAACTGTTATTCGAAGCTGGCGAACATACAATCAATGAGGGCCGTTATGAAGACTTAAAAGTGGAAACACTTGTACCTTTGCCTGACACCTACTGAATTCACTTGAGCACAGGTGGCCAAACAGAGAAGGACTCTATCAACATTGTACTGCATTCAACTATTGAGGGCTGATTAGAGAAAGGTTTAATGCAAAGCAGCTCACTGGAAGAGTCTGAGCTACAACGCAAGCGTCATGCAGCGGCTAAGCTGTGAAAGCCCAAACAAAAAAAAAAAAAGAAAAGAAAACTGAGAGGGAAACCTCTGTGCAGCTTCTGAAACTTTACCACGAGTAAAAAAAAAGGAGGCTTTTTGTCACAAAACACCATTTTTATATCATTATGAAGATAATCTAAACTGTACAGTGTAAAACTGTACTGGTGTAAAAGAAAGCTTTTATTTTTAAATGAAAACAGTAATGTATGATGAATGATCAGTTTAAAATTCCTTGTGGGAAAAAAAAAAGTCTGGTAAAATGTATGTTTAAACAGCTTTTTCTATGAATTTTGACCATTTAGGTGTTTTGGAATTACAATCAGTGGTTATTTATGCTTTTACTTTGAAATTTGGCCACGATTGTTGTTCTGTACTCATATAAGAACATGTGTCAGGGCAAAAAAAAAAAAAAAAAAACAAGAATATGGTGATGTTTAAGTGTAACCCCACTGTTACAAAGCACAAATTAGAGTTTTGATTCAGGTGAACATAAAGTGTTGAGGCTGCAGCAAATGCTTTTGAGACTGGTACCATGATGGAAGCTTTGGAGCAGTGAGAGATGTTTGCTCTCGCTCCACCTCCAGATGACGAGGAGGAGGAGGGGAGGGTGCGATGAAAGGTTGGTCGCGACAACCATGAAGCTCAGAACTCGATTTTGCAGGCAGGGAAAGACTCGTCTTGCATGACAACGGTGCTGCTGGAGGCCAGAACCATGATGTTCAAGTCCTGCTGCCTCTCGTGGGTCTGCTGGTACCACTCTCGGGTCACCTCTGTGTCATGAGTTGGTATCACTGTCACCTGGTGGCAAAAACACAAGAAGATAAAAGGAGATGGAAAATTGTGAGAAGTGAGTAAAAAACAACACGCAGGAAGATATCAAGTAAAATTTGATAGAACTGTAAATTATATAAAAATCTCATGAATTGTATCTTAGATCTCATGTTTTCATGTTTGGAGAAATCTCTGCCCAAAAGACAAATCTGAAAGCCAGTACTGGAAGGACATGATCTTTAGGCCCTCAGGCTTTACTGCGTTAAAAACCGGTCTAATTCGGTTCTGACATCTTTCTGTCCATTTAAAATGGACTGAGGTAAAATGAAAAGCTGTTCTGTGGTCAGATGAAACAAAATTTGAAATTCTCTTTGGAAATCCTGAACACAAAGTCCTCTGTACTAAAGAGAAGAAAGGCCATCCAGCCTATGATCAGAACACAGTTTAAAATCCTGCCTTTCTGATGGTATGGGGGTGCATTACTGCCACAACTTACACATCTGGAAAGGAACCATCACCCAGACCTCTCACCAATTAAAAACATAAGTCCTGTAAAGATCCTAGATTTAAAAGAAAAGGAGATGCTTCACAGTGGTAAACACGACTTTGTCTGAACCTTTTAAAAATGTGCTTCTGCCATCAAATTCAAAATTACCCCTTTTTTACTTTAAAAAATATGTACAGTTTTCTTGGTTCAACATTTGATAAGCTTACTGTGTTCCACTGTGAGTAAAATATGTTTCATGAGCTTTGCAAATCATTGCAATCTGCTTTATTTGCATTTTACAAAAGACAGCCTGTTTCATTTAATTTGAGTCTAAATCTACTTGCATTTCTCTACTTAGGTGAAATAATCCATACAATTACACTTGGTAAGACTTCTTGGAATAAAGAAAATTTTGAGGCTAACAAGATTAATAATCCAAACACTCTGATCTTGTTTAGTTTATCAGTCTCAAAAAATAGTTTTGATTGATACAAGATTGAAAGACTTGGTTAGATTGACAATTTTTGCAGTGTAAGCTTACATGCCACCACTGGCCTGGTTGTAGATTGGTTTATGTGGTGCTGGTCCATGGACCACCTCTGGCAAATCACATCTGGGCCACCAAATGACATTCTTTGCTGTATCTTGGCCGAGTGTTGAGTGCATTTTGGGTGCCAGAACTGGGCCAGACAGATTTTGCTATTTGGGGTATCCACATGTAAACGGCACGTTTCGGGGACAGAAATAAACCTGTTGGGTACATTGATCACATGGAAGTAGAGAATGAGAAACAGATGGTGTAACACCTGTAGATTGGAGCCCCACTGAGATTTGCCCTCCAGCAGAGCATCCAGGACTCCACGGCTGGGCTCTCCACTGCCTGGGTCATTCCCGCTCACCACGTAGTATGCAGCCCGGACCCTCTTGAAGAACTCCTGGTCTACATTCTTAGCACTGCAGTGGTTCGGCACATAGGCCAGGTCAACATACACTGGGGGTCCTGGGGGCACGGCTGTACCCGTTTTCTGGGTGTTGTTTCCTGAAAGTGAAAATTGAAACAAGCCTTAGTATGCTCACAAAAATCATGAGAATCTCCTTTTTAACAACTTTTTATGTTTAGTTTTAGTATTTACATAGCTTGAATTAACTATCTCCTACTTTATTTATCAGTTAAATGTTTGTTGTTTGCTGTCATATTTTATTGCTTCTAAAAGGCACAATTTCCACTGACCAAAAAAAAAAAAAAAATAAAGCCTGGTTAAGACTCACAAAACTATTCATTACCCATTCACTTTCTTTACTTGTGTCTCATTTTCTTTCTGCAGGGAGCTTGTGCCTCTAACAGTCACTGTGTGAGAGGTATGGTACATCCTGGACAGATCGATAGTTCATCATATTTCATTTCTGATTCTGATACCGAGTAGAACTCAGGCTGGTATCAGTGATATTGATCCAATACTGATACGAATAAAATAAGATAAAAACTAGTGTATTTCAAACCATAGCCTCATAAAGAATACAAGAGATCAGAGTAATTTATTCATTTTAAACTCTAGTATTTCATTCACAATATAGCCGAGCTAAAACAAGGTGAAAGAAAAAGTAGTTCCCACTCATTACATATAATTTAGACAAGATTTTAGTAGTTTAGTTACTTTCCAGTGTGTTCCTGTTATTGGTATACATTACCTAAAATGACTGAAGTATTAAAATTATCAATATTTGGATTTTAGAACCAATTTTAGAGCAGAAAGTACTGGTATTGGTGGTATCAATATTTCAGTATTGATCCACAGATCACTAACAGGGACACTCGGAGACAAAGGAGACAAACAACCTCTCACTCTCACCCATACCCACAGCTAATTTAGAATTACAGTTAACCAAACATGCATGTTTTTGGTCTGTGGGAGGAAATAGGAGAGCCTGAAGAAAACCCATGGGTGCACAGGGAGAACATGAAATGAAATATTACACCAAAGCCTCACAACAATCACATGTTTTCATTTTTTAGATGTACTGGAGCAAGGTAAGCATATCAGTCATACTAAGCTGTAAATCTCAGATTGACCTTAAATTCAAATTTGCATCTTATTATGAGCTGTAAATCCATGAGTTTGTACATTAAAATGTGTAGTTAACTGAAAACAGCTCAAAGTTGCTTTTGTTACGTCTGAAACTTTCCTGGGTTACATTTAGTTTACATCAGAACTAATAGTATTTTGTTAAGTCTCAAATAAGACAGACTTTGTAAATCCTTTTGAAAATGCATAAAAGCATTTTTTGTATTAAATAACATTTTTCATGTTTTACCCTTTTCATATTAAAACAGAAAAACCAATTTTCTGAACTGCAGGGTGGAACACAGGCTATTGTCATTTCAAAGTAGAAAGGTCTCAGGTTTGATTTTTAAAAACCTTTCTGTGTGGAGTTTGCACATGTTTGCTTTTAACACATACTCCGGTTGTTAGATTAATTGAAGAATATAATCACTAGCTGCCCCTCAGCATGAGCAGGATTAATTGGGTACAAAATTTGAGTGTGTGAGTGATAATTATTTTCTTGTTTGGCCTTATTCTGAGAATCACATAAAACCTTGTTATATACTGTGTTACTATTCAAATTCTGAAATATATTCATGTTTAATTACTGTCAGAGTACAATATGACCAGCTGAGTTTTTCACAATTGTATAAGGCTCTTATTAGACTGACTCACCGGATGATGACAACTGGTCTATTTAAACTTTTTTTCTCTCTTTTGTGTTTTTCTATGTTGCTGCAAGCAGGGGCATCACTAGGTTTTAAGGACAAAGGGGGCTTAGCCTCCAGGAGACACACAGAATTTTTATATATTACATATTTGTATTGTGTGTGTGTGTGTGTGTGTGTGTGTG